AAAAACGCCAAAAAACAGCAAAAAGTGAGGGGGTGGAGGAGGCAAACGCCAGCAAGTCAGCCAAAATCAAGGGAATCCGGGCGAGGGGGTGGAAAATGGAGGCAAAAAGCGGGTGGGTCCAACCATTTTGGCTGCAGGAAAAAGATGGACAAAGGATTAGGTGGAGGGTACTTGAGGTAACCCCCAAGACGCCTGGGCCTGTGGCCTCGGCGGATACCGATTAATTATACCAGTACTAACTGGTAGGATCGAATGCACCAACATTGCAAACAACCTGGCATCTGTGGAGAGTGCGCGGCGATCAATTTGGGATCATTCGATCCCTTCCGATGTTCGCACTTCAGGTTGCCAATTTTGGTGCACAGTACAAAAAAGCAAGCTCGGGTGGATCATGGGGAGGGTCAGCTATTGCTCTTGCTACTTACGACTCTTACTCCTTACTACTCGTACTCCTCTTATTGCTACTGCCACCGCTACCATCATTACCAGTACCACAGTACCACCACGACCACCACCCCAAAGCAAGGCAGCAGAAGAGGACAGATCAGGGCCACAGAAGTTCTCCGCTCATAATTATGCTTCGCATCATGTCGGCTGGCAACGGCTTGGAGCACGGGGTCGAGCTGACCGTAGCAACCCAACGTTTGAAGCTATCCCCAAGCAACAGCGTGCCTGCTTGCCCAAGTAGGAGGCAAACCCAATGTCTTGCGTAATCCTATTGAGCATCTTTAGCAGCGTAGTGGTTGTCGTCGGGCTCACGCTATAGGGCACCAGAAAAGCTGACAGAGCCGTGGATGGGTTGTCCATGCCCGGCCGGGCAGTGAGCATAAGATTTGCTGAAACCAAAGCCGAAGGCGCTTAACAGGACCTCGGAAAATGCTCTGGAACTTGTGCAAAGCTCCGAGAGCTCAATTTGAGCAGCGCCGCAAAGCAGGTTCGGGGGTGTGGGAACGGCATTGAACGGCAGTTTTGCAGAAACCCGAATGCGTTAGGAGGTTCTGGGGCGGTGGTTACGGGAAGGTTCCGGATTCTGTGCGGGTTCGGTGCAAGTTTCGGGGCGGGTTCCGTTGCAAGTTCGGGTTTTGGGCGAAGTTCCGCGCAGGTTCGGCGCAGGCCCGGAGGTGGTTCGGGGGCAGGTTTCAGCAAATAGGCTCAATGCCGTCCCGAAACCCGACATCGTACTGCAACTGCAAAATGTTTGTTTCCAACGTACATGTTACAAGGTTCGGAAAGCACTGGAAATGCATTTAGAGCTAGAGCTGTTTGAGCTTTGAATCCTGCCCAAAGGCATTTTCCAAGGCCTGCTAAACGCATTTGGACTTCGAATCTGGAGCTCAATGCCGTCCCTAAACCCGTGGACGAGTGTGAGAGCCGAAACCCGTGGACCCAGTCCCCGAACCCAAATCGAGCTCCCGCAGCCTCCGACCAAGCCCAAATGTATTTTCCAAGGGCCCCCGCCTACCCCCTGCACCAAACCTGCGCGGAACCTGGTAGCCTGCCCGAAACCTGCCCCGAACTGGTCCCGGAACGCCAATCTGGCCCAAACCTTATGTCGGTTGAAGACCCCCTGAGAAAATGCCATGCCGACTGCCAGCCGGTTTTTCCGTCATGGTGACGCTACCCTACCCCACTTGCGTCCACTTGCTTCACCGGTGTGGGAAGCTGGACGAAACCCACGGTACCGCCCACTGATTAATTAGCAAATGCAAACTCAGGCACACGCGCACCACTTTTTCTGGACAGGCAGCGCTACCCCTCACCGCATAGGGAAGCCATCTTCCTGGATGCGCTTGAGGGCACGGGCTAGGCCTAAACATGAAGATCGCACGCACCTCGCCGGAGCATGCATTCTCAATTGACGCATTGATGAAGCAAGGACCGGTATGGAACGGACGGGAGCGGAGGTTTCAGCTAAGTCCTGGAAAAGTTCAGTTAGCGCCCGCCCACCTTCAAACTCGACGCGTTTGGGTCGACCCACATCTGGGTCTTGATGTGCGAACCTTTTCTGACATCAATAATGGGATTGGAATTCGTCTCTATCGCATTCAGAAGCATGTCATTCCATGTGTTCAGAGTATTTTAGCTGCCTATGGGACCCAGCAGACTGAGCATACTGAGCATACTGAGCCTCGCGGACCGAAACGTCCCGTGAATTTGGAGCCTACGCACGTACGACCCACCATTGGCATGGATGCAAGCTTGAGTGAGCTAACTGGCGCCTGATTCCGTTTGGGGTTTACGTGTTTGCTACCGAATAGTGCGCTCATGAGGGGTGAAAACGAAAGGGGAGACTGAGTGCGAGTGAGGGAGAGATGCTGGCTCACTCTCAAGATGCCCTCCCCCCAAACAGCGTGTAGATGTGCAGCGAGGGAATGTGAGGTTTTTTCGTTGAGTGTGGCTTTCCTGGCTTTGCCATGTTTTCACTTGACAAAGGCTTGGGGGTGCCGCCAAGTGGCCACTGTTCGGGATTTCAGCTGTTACGGCAGTTAGATGCTCCGCTGATGAGGCTTTCATGTTGCCTAGTGCTGCTCCTCCAGGTCCGGGACAGGCGCTTTTGATTACTAGGTCCAGCTGAGCAGTGTAGGCAGAAGTCACACCTTAAGCCTGGCAGGTGGCGGCCGCACCAGTGCCTCTCTCGACGCAATGCACGAAGCCGCAAGCACAAGCGGCGCAAGCTGCGGCTGCAGGCGCTTCCGAGCGTCTTTCGAAAGCCCCGGCTCCTCTTGGAAACCCTTCCGTCACGCCCGTTTCCTGGGATACATATGCGGCAGCGGCACCACCGGCACCTACACCTTTGCTGGTTCAAGACCAGAAGCCACTTCACAACATGCCAATGTGGCCTCCCGGACACATACAATCCACATTGCTGCCAAGCAGATATCCCATGCAACATCCACAGCAAGTGTTGGTCCTCTCCAATTTCCTGCAGGAGGCATCACACCGTGTTATATAGAATGAATGTGATCGTCTGCTGCCCAAGGCGCCTCCAAAAATGGACGAGCTGTGCTGAACTGAGATTCGTTTCCATGGATACTGGTTTTTGGGAAAGACGGAAAAGTGGCCAACTTGGTTCGCGACGACCAGGTCCGCTGCGCACGCAGATCCACAGCTCTATGATTCCTCGGCATTGCAACCTGCCAGTGGTGTCACAACGTTCTCCCGGCATGTACATGCAGTCATACCTGATCTTTCATCATTCATTCGACCTGCTCCCGAAGGCTGATGCTTCGAAATATTCCGGTTGCCAACTTACTGGTGAACTGCAGCATGGCACCCAGAACATCAAATAGCACTCCGCTTCAGGTGACCTTCAATCGGGAGGCACTCTTAGCAGATTTTGATGCACGCAGCCCAGATTTTTCGATTCATCTTAGATTCGCGCGTTGGAGGTTTATGGCGGTTCAGCATCATGCTACAGAAATCACGGGAAGCCCGACAGAGCTGCACCATAGGTTGAGTGCCGTTCATACTGCAAATACGGCTCGCTCTCAACTCGTGGGCCGTAGTACTTGCGAGACGCGTCGGTTGTCCATGGGGCAATTTGATTGGAAAGCAGTGTGGCCCCTCCGTTGCCAACGCATGGGGCGACTGCGGATATGCGTGAAACTGTGCTGGTGTCGAGGTCGCGCCATTGCCAGAATTCAGACCGGCTGCTCTTGTTCAAGGTTTAGCAGCCCTCACCTCCTCAACTCTGACCTTGCGAACAGCAGGAATGCAGCATAATTCCAACCTTGTAACTCATGTTGATAAGGCTCGCGGCTTGAGAGGTTCGCATCTCAGTCGGTTGCGTTTGGATGAGCCAAGCCACCTCACCCACACATCGAGCTGTAAGCAACAGGCAAATATGATTTTTTCTATTTGCCGATCGACTTCCAGACTGGAAACAATCTGGGGTGCCTGGCTGTGACATTTTAGAGTTTGTCATGGTGCAAGGGTTTGGCAACAGGACGGTTCCTGCGCGTTAAGCGTTGCTGTTTCATTGTTTCCTAGGGGTGCTGCGAACTTCCCCTGCCGCCCTTGCGGCAGCTATCCGTAACGTTAGCCAACGGGAGCTCCGCTGCGACCACAGCGGTACATTGCTGGAGTAGAAGAAGGTAGCTTGTGATTCGTGATGATTCGTGTCAGTGTCGCTCGATACAGGCAACGAACAGCACAGCAGAGCAAAAGAGACGGCTAGTCTTAGACACCTAGACGTAGACCGATAGAGACAGAGACGGGCAGCTGTCACGAAAGCTAGACCTTCTGGGTTTGCGGGAGTTGTCGTTTGCCAACTGGGTGGCGGAAAAAACACGGGAACAAGGTTCCCCCCGCCAACTTCCTCCACATCTCTTTCTCGGCACCTGTACTTGCAAGTCAATCTCATCCACATGTCTCATACACGACTTTCAGACCCCTTTTGTCACACCCCTCGATCTGATTTGCGAACAGGGACAGGGTTGTCGCCGGCTGCACACTGAAGCTACATCCCCACACCCAACTAATGTAAAACTGCGGGGGGTGCTCTTTCGGGGGGCCTTTGAAATCCCCAGGGAATAATGTAAAACGGGGGGG